TGTTTGTGTGTCTGATATGGCTCTGTGGTCTGGATCTTGGGTTCTCAGACTAGCGTCTGCCTGAGACCCTGACACATGCTCATAATAACAATAACTAACCTTTATGGAGCACTATTCTGTGTGAGGCACTGTACTGAGCACCTATGTAACTAAGTCATTTAATTATCACAAAAGAAGAGATGGTTTACAGTGATTATCCCATTTTACAACTGAGCTAACTGAGGCACACAGAAGTTAAGTAACGTGCCCAAGGTCACTGGTAGTAAGTGGCAAAGCTGGGATTCAAATCCAGGCGGTCCGAGTCCCAAGACCACACTTTAAAGGCCTCCGCTACACCACTTCTCCTCTCCAATGCTCTTTTAATGTTTACTGGGCTGAGAGGGAGAAAGTGCCCAGTGTGGTGGAGCTGGGGGATATGGCTACCCTGAAAGGCAAACACCAGAAGCCCTTTGGGGTTCCCTAGGGCAGAGGTGGCAGGAGCTACCAAGGGTCACGTCTGGTACTTGGGGAGAGGGAAACATGGCTCTCACCTTTTCCAATGCCCAATATCTACTGCAGCTAGACAACTCCCCTCTCTACCCTGGGAGAGTGGAGGCAGGGGAAAGGCTAAAAGATCTGACTGAGAGCTGGTGAGCTGGGAGTCAGAGCTAGGATCACCAGAGGCCGATAGATGGCGCTCCTGGCCCAACACAGCCTCGGCAGCTCACAGAAACCAAAGGAAAACAAACCCTCAGGTTAACCCCTTCCTGCCTGGGCTCTGGCCCCGGGAACAGCCTGGTGGGCAGCGGAGGGCCCTGACCTAGGCTTGGAGTGACCCAACTCTCTAGGCTCTGTTCAGGCCACAGGTCGGCTTCTGCTCCTACCCTATAAGTTCTATCCATAAATGACAGTCAGCCGGCCTTTGGAGCCTTCCCAGAGGGCCAGGAGGCTGGGACACTGGCAAGACAGGTTGGGAGGGCCCCAACCTAGCCCAAGTTTCATCTCTCAGGCTCTACCTCTTGAAAATCTATGGGTCTCTGTTTCTAACAACCCCCACTTCAGGATTTCTCACTTCCATCTTCCCTGAGAAGGACCCACCAGGTGGGGAGGAGTAGCATGGCCTAGACAGAGAAGGCTCCCAGATCCCACTGAGGTCAGCTATAGGGACTCACTGTGGGGTTGCCCAAGACTCAGTTTCTCCCTGTGTTGGGACCTCCTATCTCTGGGCTCCTGGGACAAATGGGCTTATAGGGACAGAAACAGTTCTTCCTGGAAGTTGACATTGGGAGTTAGGGTCCTGTGGATCTCTGCTTGCCTGCCGTTCATTTCACTCATTACTTTCTTACCAGAAGCAGACTTGGAAAGTGAGGGGCTGCCATGATGATTAACAGGAAGTGGTGGGCAAGCAAGTGGCAGCGGGGTAGGATGGGCAGGAGGGTTGTCCAAGGGATGGTGAGGCTCCTAGAATTTTTAAGTAATAAGATGACAACAGTGTGTCCCCCCACCCCCCCCGCTGCCAAATTTTTGTTTGGCAACATACAAATGCATAGATCTATGAAGACAGAGGAGCGTGAGGGGGCAGTCAGTTCTAGAAGGCTGGGATAGTCTTATTTCAGACATTCCAGAGAAAGAAGCAGAGGCATGGGGATAGATGTACCCAGAGGGAGACAGATACACAGAAACAGAGAAAAAGCCATACAAGAGAGTAGGGATGGGGGCATCTGGGTGGCTCAGTCAGTTAAGCCTCAGACTCTTGATCTCAGCTCAGGCCTTGATTTCAGGGTCGTGAGTTCAAGGCCCGTGTTGGGCTCACACTGGGCATGGAGCCTACTTAAAAAACAAAACAAACCCCCCCAAAATAAGAGAATAAGGATAGAGATACATTTACATAGGCAGGGAGAGGCAAAGACACAAAGAGGGAAAGAATCTGGCACAAACACAAGCTCAGGAAGTAACAGACTTTGTGAGGTGGATGATTAACTCTGTTTCCAAAGTCTGGCAAGGTAGGGGTGGTTTCTCACCTTTGGTGTCAGAGAGTTGCTGCTCACATTTCCCTAAGGCTCATGCTGCTTTTGTCTGTTGGTAGGAGAGCAGGGAAGGTTGGGAAGGGGGTAGCATCCTTGTTCTCTCACTTTTTCCTGTTCTAGGGTTTGCTGGTCTCCTTCTTTACCAACTGTAGGGAGACCTTGCTTCTTCCTGATCTCAGGCATGGCTGTGCTGAGGTGTGCAGGAGGTGGGAGGAATCCAGAAGGCAATTAGCCTTATGGAGTTTCCAGTTTATAAATACATATAAACTAACCTTACAGTTAGGACACAGAAATATACCGAGATGGAGGACAAGAACAAAATGAGGGGGTGCCTGGGTGGCTCAGTTGTTGGGCATCTGCCTTCGGCTCAGGTCATGGTCCCAGGACCCTGGGACAGAGCCCCGCATCCGGCTCCCTGCTCAGCGTGGAGCCTGCTTCTCCCTCTCCCTCTGCTGCTCCCCCTGCTTGTGCTCTCTCTCTCTCAAATAAATAAATAAAATCTTTTTTAAAAAAAGAACAAAAATAGGAGTGGGACAGCTCTGAACATTGTTTTGGGTTGGGGAGTTGGGAGGGAATGGACCATTAGGTGCAGCCATGGGATTAGGAATGTTCAGGGAAGTATTTGAGGGGAAGGATTGGGAAGGGTGGGAGATTGTAGGGCTGGGTGGACTGCATGGCAGAGGAGGGAGAGAAGTCAAATGTGAAAGCCATGGAGACAAAGGCATGGGCAATAATGGGAGATGGAAAAGTCTGAAAGCCATTACTAAAGAGTTGTTAGGAGATTCTAGAAGTGCCTCTGTGGATGTTCTAGATACAGTCCTTGGAGGGCTGCAAAGGAGGGGTCTCTTATCCTTGGGGCAGCAGGAGAACCAGAAATGGTCTTTTAGCCATTGTTAATACTCTCAGGTGAGTTTTGAGATTGGGGATGGTTGAAGTGCCTTGATTCGCAATCCTGTTCGGAAAAGCCTTGTCGATGAATTTTTGGAAGGGTGCTGCCCTTTAGAGCTAGACGCCAGGACTTCCGTGGTCCTTACTAAGGCTGGCCTCTTAAAGCTTTCTTGCTTTTCGCCTGGATGTAAGGGTTAAACTACAATCCCCAGAGTCACTTAGGGTTAATTTAACACGCCTTCCGGGGATTTGAGTATTTCCGGCGGAAGTTGCCGCGGCTACGCCAATCTCTTTCCCTAAATAAAGTAGACTACGACTCCCACTGTCCTCCGCGCCCGGGGGCGGGGAGGGGAACCGGAAACCGGATGGAGAGCTGAACCAGGTGAAGAAGTAGGAACCTGGGAACCTGGGGTCTTGAGGGGCAGGGTTGGGGCTGTTAGTGTTGTGGGGCGGGGAGTAGGAATGTTTATGCTTTGGGGACCCTTGCTGTGTCTGGGGCTTGCGCCGGCAGAGGAAGAGTCGAGCCCACGGAGCCGGCCTGGGGAGCCTGCGGGGACATGGTTTTCCCGTTGGGCGGAGCCCGAGGGCGGACACGGAGTTTTCTTACGGACCCTTAGCGGGCGGCCCTCTCAGAAGCAGGAGAAGGGATAAGTGGTGCTTTTGAGTCCATGTTCTACCACTACTACTGTTAGTTTAAGGATTTGTTGATTGTCCCTGTCGATTCCTGGAGTGCCTCCAAGGGATAGGGGAATGGATGGTGTCTTTGATTCCTTCTTCACTTCCAGGATTTCGTGTCAGAGAACCTAGATAGCCAGACTTATTGCTGGATCACCCTCCGCTTCCTTTGCACTTAGTATGACACTGTAATTTACAATGTATCTACGTTTCTTTCTTTTTTTAAAAATTAATTTATTTGAGAGAGAGCACAAGCAGGGGGAGGGGCAGAGGGGGAGAGAAGCAGACTCCCCACTGAGCAGGGAGCCCCATGCGGGGCCCGATCCCAGGACCCCAGGATCATGACCTGAGCCGAAGGCAGACGCTTAACCAACTGAGCCACCCAGGCACCCCTGTATCTACGTTTCTTAAGTCTTTGGTTCTTGGTGGCTTTAGATAGGACTTTCAAGTTCCTCCTTTGGGTTCTCAAAGTGTATTGTTTAGGACGTTAAAGCTCAAACCACGGTGTATTATAGTTGTTTATCTGTCCTCTCTCAGTAGTTTATGAGCCAGGCCTGCATTTTATTCATTTTGGATTTCTTCCTCATCCAGAGACGACCACAGTGCCTATCATGGAAGAGACTCAAATACTGAAAAAAATAAATGAGTTAACAGTTGATGGTAGGGTGGATGGAATTTGTGGTTTTCATTTCATAGAGAGGAGAGTTAAATGATTTGCTTAAGAGAAACTTAGAGATAAAACCAGGATTAGAAGTGGATTTAGTTGACACCCAGACTGTGTCTCTTGCTATCAGATTAGGTTTGAAACTGGAACGCTGCGAATAAAGCCTTGTCATTCTTTTTGTGTACCCTGCAGCCTTGCTGTCTTCAGCACAGGTCTCTAAAGATCAAAGGTAGGCTCAGCCTAAGACTTGAGAGAGATCCCAGAGCTGGAGCAGCCAGTCTACTAACATTGGCACTGCATGGGGACGTGCAAAGCAAGGGCCCCGGAGATAATTTGAGTTCTCCACAGCTCCCTTCTTGGCTTTTGTTTCAGCCCAGTTGGCCCTGGTTAGCCATCTGGACAAAGCAGTAAAAGACTTCTGAGATCAGTCTGGAGAAGGGTTTCCTAAGTTTGGCCCTGACTTTTTTTCTCTCCCACTTGCCCCAGGCTAGGGTCCGAGAACAGGTTGATGGATCAAGCTGTTTTGTCAACCCTGAGGTCCCATGAGGGAGAAGAACCCTGGCCCCTGCCCCATGGGAGGCCCAGCCATGGTGGAAACACACCCAGAGCCTGGCAAACCCTCAGAAACAATTGGAGTGCAAAGTGGGCAGCTGAGCCTTGAGTGAACTCTGGCTGTAGAAATGGAGAAGAGTCCATCGGGAAAGACTCCTTGGTAGAAGGTCGTTTTAAAGAGGATTGAGAAAGGTAGGATGGACAGAGTCGAGTGGGTGTTTGTTGACTACCTAATAAAAGCTAGGACCTTAAAGATACAGAGGGAAGTTGAACAGGACCTGGCTTCTGATCTGCTCAAGTCTAGGTAGGGAGGCAAGGTGTGAATTGGGGAAGAAGCCACTAACCATGGTGACATGCAGCAGTTTGAGCCTTCATCAACCATTGGAATCACCTGAGGAATCTTGTTTAAAATACAGATTCCCAGGTCTCACACCAGACCTACTCCTGTGTGGGGTGGGGCTGGGAAGTTACTGCATGGCTACAGTGTCCTAAGGAGGGCAGGCTTTACCAGTGGGCTCGTTGGAGCTGCATCTCGAAGGATGGGTATGATTTGGGTGTGTGGAGAGGCAGAGGAGTCACAGTCTTGGTTGACTTAAGGAGTGTATTTGGTTGGGTTTGAAGAAATGGCATGTGCAAAGTTTTGGGAGTTGGGGTAGGAAAGGCATTTTTGAAAGAGTGAGTGGAATGGTCAGACTGGAACACTGGGTTTGCATGCGAATTGTGAGAAGGAAGATTAGAAGGAATGGTCTTTGTAGGCTACAGAACCTGCTGGAGTGCTCCCTCCGCCTCCTCCCAGCTTCTTCCCTCTTTTCTACTTTTCCACTTCTTCCTTGCCTCCCAACCCCCACTTACCTGCAACATCTCATTCCATCCTTTATATTGCTATTATTGAGTGGATATTATTTTTCCTAGTATTTGGATGAGAAAACCTGAGGCTCTGGCCATGGTTACATAGCGTGTAAGGGTCTGTTCTGAGTCCAGTAATCATCCTGCTGACCACTGAGGATTCTTGAATGTGGGCAAGAAGCTGGCCTGGGCTTGGGGGGGTTGTTGGATTAGCAGGGTGGCTGACTGAATCGTTCCAGGCAAGATGAGTTCGGTGGTTGAGAGCATAGCCTTGAGTCACATAGTTTGGGTTCAAATCCCAGCTTCTTCATTACTTGCTAACTGCGTGACCCTGGGCAAGTTGCTTGATCTTACTAAGCCTCAGTCTTCTCACCTGTAACATGGGAGCAATAACACTCACCTCATGGGGTTCTTATGAGGATCAATGAGGTGTACCTGGCACAGAGCAATTGCTCACCACCTGGAAGCAATTGTAATTAGCCTTCTGTAATTAGTCTCTGGGCCGTGGCTGTGCACCTGCATCTCATTCTTCAGCACATCGGTTTCCAGGACACAGCCCGTCCTGGCTGAGCTTGTTTTATTAAGGATGACATTAGAGGTGCTGGAGGTTTGCCACCGGTAAATATATATTGAAAACCTCCCGTGTGCTTGGCATGGCCTAGGAACTAGTGACTCAAGGCTTAAGCCTGGTGGAAAGGAGGTTTTGGAGTGGGAGATGAAGGGTTATTCTCACCAGGTGACATAGGAAGAGGAGGGATACTTGAAGCGGGCAGTGGAAGGGCCCTTCACCACCAAGAACTGAGATGAGCTCAGACAAACCTAGAGGGTAGGGAATGGCTGATGGTCTCTTCTGAGCCGTGGAAAGGCTAGCCATGGCCAGCCTGGATCCCTCTCACTCTACGGCTGAAGGCTGATGGGGCCTCTGTCCTTCTCTTTTCCAGGTGGCAGCGACGTGGCTGTACCCCAGGCTCATCCACTGGGGCCCCTCCATGAGCCTGCCAGTGCCCTGATGGAGCCCCAGCCTTGCCCTCGAAGCGTGGCTGAGGGCTTCCTGGAGGAGGAGCTGCGGCTCAATGCTGAACTGAACCAGCTGCAGTTCTCAGAGCCTGTGGGCATCATCTACAATCCTGTGGAGTATGCGTGGGAGCCCCACCGCAGCTATGTGACCCGCTACTGCCAAGGCCCCAAGGAAGTGCTCTTCCTGGGCATGAACCCCGGGCCCTTTGGCATGGCCCAGACTGGGGTAAAGGGTTTGGCTTCCCCTGGTGGGTGGAGTGGGAGGCTCCAAGGTGGATGTTTGGCTGTGTTGCAGTGGGGGAGGAGCGTGTGCCTGGCTGTGGACCCGTGTGGGTACAGGCCCCCTCATCCCCTCCCAGTACCCATGCTGGCTCCTGTGGTCTCAGACATTCTCCTGGCCTCACAGCCCAGAGTTAACCAAGCACATTAATGGTAGTTCCGTTTCCCCTGTGAGCTTGTCCACTAATTGCCTCTGCGAGCCCTTCCTTCCGCCCGCCCCATCCTTACCTTACCTTGCTGGATCTCCTCTTTCCCTAGAGTGTGGTTGGGGTCGGGAGAGGGACCAGGAATACCGGCTCCTCAGGGGAGACTGGCTGACGGGTGGGTATGGAAGAGATGCAGGGCTTTCAGCTGACCTGCTTCTGTGTCTTAGCTGAGGAGAGGCTCAAAACAGAGCTGGCTCGGGGGCCTGCCTGCTTTCCTTTCAGATGTTGGGATGAGTGAATGCCCCTCAGTGGGGGTGCTTGGCAGCTGGGGGAGGGGAAGAGGCTTCAGGGCAGGCGGCTCAATCGCTTTTATTGACCCCGACTGGGGGATGAAAGGTGATCAATGATGATCAATGGAAATGACAGCCTGAGGCTCCGGGCTGAGAGGGCACCGAGGGAGCACTGGTCAGTCCTGTCTTTGTGCTTCCTCTAACCCTGGCTGTCTTTCTGTCTCAGACCGTCTGTCTGCCCCCATTACTACCCATCACATCCTGTGGAGGGCCAGATACTCCCATATGCTCTCTCTATGTGCTTCCAAAGGCAAGTGGGGATAGAAGCAAACAGATTCTTCTGCACCACAGTCCACAGTGAAAAACTGGAGAAAGATGGGCAGGATCAAACCATAGGGCCAGATTCCTCGTCTCAGGCCTTTGGGCGAAGGGGGTGGGGGTAGTGGTGGGGTGTCCAGGCTGGATCCTCATGGAGGGTATTAGAGGGTGCAGCTGGTGCAGAACCCAGGTGTCAGATCTCCAGACTGAAACCCTCCTGTCTCTCTCCCTCTCGGCAGGTGCCCTTTGGGGAAGTGAGCATAGTCCGGGACTGGTTGGGCATTGGGGGACCTGTGTTGACCCCACCCCAAGAGCACCCGAAGCGACCAGTGCTGGGACTGGAGTGCCCTCAGTCAGAGGTGAGCGGTGCCCGGTTCTGGGGCTTTTTCCGGAACCTCTGTGGACAGCCCGAGGACTTCTTCCGTCACTGTTTTGTCCACAATCTGTGTCCTTTGCTCTTCTTGGCTCCCAGTGGGCGCAACCTCACTCCCACCGAGCTACCTGCCAGGCAGCGAGAACAGCTTCTTAGGGCCTGTGACGCGGCCCTCTGCAGGCAGGTGCAGCTGCTGGGAGTGCGGCTGGTGGTGGGAGTGGGGCGCCTGGCGGAGCAGCGGGCACGGCGGGCTCTGGCAGGCCTGACGCCTGAGGTCCAGGTGGAGGGGCTCCTGCACCCCTCACCTCGGAGCCCACAGGCCAACAGGGGCTGGGAGGCAGCGGCCAAGGAGAGACTGAATGAGCTGGGGCTGCTGCCGCTGCTAACAAAATGAGGCCCTCTGTGGCCTGGCACAGGACATGTTCAAGGCCCCCAAGTCATTCCGGGGCAAGCAGAGGACTACGCCCCCTGGCCTGGAGCCACAGGGTCCTTCGGGGCTCCCTGGTTGCTGGGACCTGCCGTGGCAGGTCTGACACTACTCCCGCTTGCTGCATTTTTCACCTTCCTTTGAGCACTGCCCCTGCTCCTGTGGTAGCTAACTCCACAGAGACGTGGCGTCTGCAAACTGCGCTACCTCACTGTTGGCGCCGGAGCCTCTGCTCAGTTGAGAGGGGCCCAAACTGTGACTTCTGGGGCCGTATTTGCTGTGTGAGAGGAAAGATCCTGCCAGGCTCCCCAGCCATCCTCCTAGAACAGCTTCCTTCAAGCTGAGCCTTTTCCTCACAGGGACCAGGACAAAGCGAGGCATGTGGATGTTAAGAGTGAACTTCTTATGGGAGACTGAGGCTGGATCAGAGAAAGAATTCAGTGTGGCAGAGTGGGGAAGACCCAAAGACCTGGCTTTCTTCATCTCCGCTTGAGACTTCATGGCTTTGTGAACATTATGACTTTGGACAAATTTGATGAACCTCTCCAAGCCTCAGGATCCTCATCTGTAAAACGGGGGTCCCTACCTCATGGGGTTGGTGTGGGGATTAAGTGAGATCACGCTTGAAAGTGCCTTGTGTCATGCCTGGCAGGTGGGTGCTCCTTATACTTCTTGCTTTTTTGCCTCTTGATTGGGGCATCACTGTACCACACTACAGAGGGAGCGCCACCACTCCCAGGACCTTGCTGGGTGAGAGGCAGATCCTTGCCCTGCCAGAGGTGGACCAATAATTTTATGAAAAATGCAGCCCTGTGATTTTTCAGTCCAAGCATTAAAAACTCCTAAACTGGGGTGTATAGGTGGCTCAGTCGCTTAAGCGCCTGCCTTTGGCGCAGGTCATGATCTCTCAGGTTCCCCACTCAGCGGGGAGTCTGCTGCTCCCTCTCCGTTTCCCTCTGCCCCTCCCCCCACTCGTGCCCTGTCTGTCAAATAAATAAATAAAATCTTTAAAAGGAAAAAAACCTCCTAAACCCTTTTGTGTGGGTCCTTTTTTCCCTCCTGCATGTCAGGGATGGAAGGGGTAGTTTAGATTTTTCCCTTCTCTTACCTCTTCACTGTTGCAAAGGGTTCTCCTGAGTATCTGGGGAGATGATGTAAACAGACCTCTAATTGTCTTACCATAGCTTAAGGGTCTCAGTCAGCGGTGTGTCTGCTACTCAGGGCCCTGTGGGGAGCAGCGGATGGGTGGATGGGAGCACGCTATCTCCACCTAGCTCATTTCTTGTGTCTGCTGGATGACTGGTTGGTGTGCCCCTTTAATAGGGCTGGGAAAGTGAATCAAGTTGGGAATAGAGTGGGTCTTGAGACCATCTTAATGGGGAACACGTGGTTGGATTCTATCTCCTGGGACAGGTCATCTCCATCTTTCACAATTAAGATTTTTAGTATAGGGGAGCCTGGCTGGCTCAGAGGAGCGTGAGACTTGATATCGGGGTTGCGAGTTGGAGCCCCATGTTGGGTGTAGAGATTAGTAAAAAACATATGTAAGATAAATTTAAAAAAAAAAGTTTTTTTAGTGTAAGTGTCCCCCATTTGTATAATGAATTTGACTGGCTTTTGTCATTGGTTCTTGGGAGGGAAGTGTCTAAATCCTTGGAATTTCCCAAGTGATAGGAGTGTCTTTGTTATTCACGGAGGGCCACACACCTCTGAGTTTATGCTGAAATTGACTCTGGACCAGGGCTACGCCAGAAAGGCCTACCATTTGATGAGAGGGTTGGGGCTATGAGCCAGGTGATACCAGCCTGAACTGAGGGTGGGTGTGGGGGCTGGAGATTGAATTCAGCCATGTGGTCAGTGATTTCAATCGATAATACCTATGTAATGAAACCCTAATGAGAACTCTGGACACAGACTTTGGCAGGCCTCCTGGGTGGTGAATGCATGGGTGCAACAGCCGGGCGCTGTGTCCCGTTTCTGCGGGGAAAGTACCTAGCGCTGGGTTTGGAAACCCTCTTGGACCTTGCCTCTTGTATCTCTGTTTGGCTGGGCCTGATTTGTATCCTGTATAATAAAACTGTGGTTCTAAGGAAGTGCTTTCCTGAGTTCTGTCAGTCATTCTAGTGAATTATCAAATCTGAGGGGGCCATGGGAACCCCTGAATTTGTAGCCAGTTAGAAGTATAGGTGGCCTGGGGACCCCTGAACTTGGAGCTGGCATCTGAAGCGAGGGCGGTCTTGTTGGGGATGGTGCCCTTAAACCCATGGAGAGTGTGCTGACTGGGGAGTTAGCACTGGAATGGCATTGCAACTTTGCACACACACACCCCCTGCCTCCGCCGCGCCACACACACACCTTAGACTCCTTTCCTCTATGTTGTGGGGCCCTAGATGAGACACTGGGATAAGTGCACAGAGAGGGAAGTCACTGTGCCCCTCTGCATTTAGCCGAGGTAGAGAAGGCTCTCCGGGGAGGTGGCATTTCAGGCGGCCTTAGAGACTGGGAGTTCTGGAGAACATCATTATGTTCAAGGGGTGGCAAGTGGATGAGCACTGACTTTGCCCGCTTGGGAGGAAAAGCTAGAGAGGTAAGTTGGAGCCATCTTGTGAAGGATCTTGAATGCCAGACTAATCTTTGAGCATTTGAAGTCCAGCGGGGAAAGTGAGATGCACAGAACACACACACTTAAAACACCCAACAGATGGGGCTGAAGGGGAAGGCCCTATAGGAGGCAGGGTAGGTGCAATGGGGTCAAGAAGGGAACGGGGAGGTGATTATAGGGAAGGTGTCCTGGTGGGACAGCACAGTCTAGGTGAAAGCCTAGAATTGGGGGCGAGACTCTTGAGCTGGGGAGGGTCGGGCAGTGCACAGGGGCACTAGAATGGTAGTGACCAGGATGGTGGCTGGAAGACTTAGGTGCCAGCAGAGTCACTGCTGGATCTGGCTTCTAGTAGAGCTGTCATCCTCAATTCTTGGGGTACATCTTGTCCTGCAAGAGGCTGATTAGGGTCCGGGCCTGCCTTTTTCTAAGGGCACTCTAGTAGTCTGCCAGGGCTGCCATAACAAAAATACCACACGCAGGGTAGCTTAAACAACACGTTTATTTTCTCAGCATTCTCGAATCTAGGAGTCCAAGAGGTAGATGTCGGCAGGTTTGGTTTCTCCTGAGACCTCTCTCCTTGGCTTGTAGACAGCTGCCTTCTCACTGTGTCCTGCCATGGCCTTTTCTCTGTGTCTCCCTGCTATTTTCTTACAAGGACACCAGTCACTGGATTAGGGTTCCACCCTTAAGACCTCATTTAACCTCAGATACCTCTTTATTTTATTTTTTTTAAGATTTTTTATTCATTTATTTGAGAGAGAGTGTATGTGAGAGAGAGTGTGTGTGTGAGAGAGAGAGCACAAGCAGGGGGAGCTGCAGAGGGAGAGGGAGAAGCAGGCTTCCCGCTGAGCAGGGAGCCTGATGCAGGATTCAATCCCAGGACCCTGGGATCATGACCTAGGCCTAAGGCAGACACTTAACCAACTGAGCCCCCCGGGCGCCCTGTAGTTACTTCTTTAAAGGCCCTGTCTCCAAATAAAGTCACGGTGGGGCTTAGGGTTTTAATATGAATTTGGGGAGTTGGGAGACACAATTTGGCTCATAACAGGCATCTCAAGTCATGTCACTGTTTTTCCTGTCCCCCACCAATGTCAACCTCTAGCAAAAGAGGGTACTCCGGAGTGCCTTTCCTCCAGTCTGGCGGGTAGAGTGGTGGTGTGGCTTAGCTACCTGATAGAGCTTAATCCACCTGACTGGCCGCTACACCCCCCAATTCATTCTAGAGCAGTTTTTTTCAGTGCAAATGAGAGTGTCTGTAGGGAGGGGAAGCTCATTGTTTTCTATTGAGCTAAAGGGAATGGAAACTTGAACTGCTACAAAACCATATTGTGAGAAGTATTTTAAAGCCAAATTGAAGTGATTTGGGATCGTCTAGAGTTTTGCGGTCTGATATAGTAGCCCCTAGCCATGTGTGACTGTTTAAGTTAATGGGGCACCTGGGTGGCTCATTCGGTTAAGCTTCTGACTTCGGCTCAGGTCATGATTTCAGGGTCCCTGGGATCGAGCCCCACGTTGGACTCCTTGCTTAGTGGGGAGTCTTCTTCTACATCTGCCCCTCCCTCCCTTCTGCTTTCGCTTTCTCTCTCTCTCAAATAAATAAATAAAATCTTTAAAAAAATTTAATTTAGGGCGCCTGGATGGCTCAGTCGTTGGGCGTCTGCCTTCGGCTCGGGTCATGATCCCAAGGTCCTGGAATCGAGCCCCGCATTGGGCTCTCTGCTCAGTGGGAAGCCTGCTTCTCCCTCTCCCACTCCCCCTGCTTGTGTTCCCTCTCTAGCTGTCTCTCTCTCTGTCAAATAAATAATAAAATAAAATCTTTAAAAAAAATAAAAAAAATTTAAGTTAATGAAGTAAGATTAAAAATTCAATTCCTCAGTCACTAGCCATATCTCAAGTGCTCAATAGCCAGACATACACCACAGATATGGAACATTTCATCACTGCAGAAAATTCTACTGGGTAGCACTGATCAAGAGATCAGTAGCTTACAACCCTGCCTGTGAATCAATTCACCTGTGGAGGTTTTAAAAAAGGCACGTGTCTGAGTTCCACTTTAAGAGATTTTGATTTGGGAAGTCTGCAGTGCAGCCTGGTATCTCTTTTTCTCTTTGTGCTACAGATGTGCAGCCAAGGTTAAGGCAGGATTGCACTGGGTGCCTTGAGGGCAAGGAGAGGGTCCCTTCTATTCTCTTCCCCAGTATGTAACCCAACACCTGGCACAAAGTAAGTGTTCAGGACGAATACGCAAGTAATGCATGAATGTGGTTTCAGAGATCTACCCCAAGGTGCCGATCCAAGTAACATAAGTGTCCCCAGAGTTTGTTGCTTTTGTCCAGTGATGGTGATTGAAATTCTGGTTCAGAGGAGTGATGGGGGCTTCCACTCTAACACATGCGCACGCACACACACACCCATACATATACGTACGTAGTTGGTGGTAGAGGCCAAGCTGTGCTTGGGTCAGGGTGCTTCTGAGACTGAAGGTTGGAGTGTGTTGAGGAAGAAAAAGACTCCTCCTACTCTTTTTTTTTTTTCTTACTGAAACAGGATGGTGTAAAAGAAGATGGAGTCTTGGGTTTGACCACCAGGTCTTTCACTTTCCTTTCTCAATTCAACAAACATCTATTAATGTCAGCTGTGTGCCAGTCCCCATGCTAGGCACTGTAGGGAGTGACAGAGGTGATTGCGATAATTCTTTGTCCTCACGTTGCTCATTGCCCGGTGCTGGGAGATATAGGCATATAATTATAATCAAAAGGCAAACGTGTTGTGAACAACTTCTAAACACAGCGCTCTGAGCACACTGACTGAGGAAGTGATTAGCCCTCCGACTGTGGGCAGGAGGTGCATGTGCCTGTAAGGGAGGGTGATGCCTGCAGGGTTCCCGCATCACTTGCTGTCTGGCCACCTCCGCGGAGGGGACCCCTGTGGCACAACTCAGGGCTGGGCGTGTCTCTGTGGGAGCCTCTAATTTGGTCTCTTGTTCCATGAACCTTTGGGCTGGAAAACTGCAGGAGGTTGTGTCAGGGGCTGTCCAGGTGCTGGAGCAAAAAAGACCAGAACCCCAGCCTGGGCATAGCTGGGCAGAGAACATGAGTGGAATGAAGGGAATGGCGATTGTGGCCCAGCCAGACTAAGTCTTGACTCTTCAAATATTCTTTTTTTTTTTTTTTTAAGATTTTATTTATTTATTTGACAGAGAGAGAGAGCACAAGCAGGGGGAGCGGCAGGCAGAGGGAGAGGGAGAAGCAGACTCCCTGCCGAGCAGGGAGCCCTGATGCAGGACTCAATCCCAGGACCCCGGGATCATGACCTGAGCCGAAGGCAGACGCTTAACCGACTGAGCCACCCAGGCGTCCCTTG